ATTTCTGACACATAATGTACATTTTTTTACAAATTTATTCTGATTGTTGTTGAAGTATTTATCTCGAATCAAACGTTTGTACATGCATCTCACCTTAGCAATTTCGCATTGATCAGCACGAAAAGTATCGCAATCATCACAAAAAGTCAAAACATGTTTACCGAATTCTCTAAATATTAAAAATATAAAAATTAAAAAAGATTTTAGAAGCATTGTTTTTCTCATTCGTGAATCAGTTCATCAGAATTGGAATGCACAGAAAAAGAGCACAGTCAACTACTCCAGCGTTTCTATACAAACTTATGTACCTTGTGTCATAAGAATGACAACAAAGAATGAAAAGTGTTTTGAAAGTGATCTCAACAGTTTTTTCTCTGAACTGATCTCAATTTAAAAAAAAATAGGCTGTTCTAAATCATTAGTAAAAATAATTGCACATCTCCGTTCTAATTTTTTAAAATATAAAATATAATATACGTATTTATCTAACTGTATTAGATAATTGCAAATAAGAATTACAAGATAACATCCATAAGAATCAAAAATCAATGCTTTAAAAACATTTTATCCAACTATTGTCATTTAAATCTTCTATCTTCACATTTAACAGTAATATTTTAAGAAATTATTTATCTTATAGGGGCAAATCCCATTTGATTTTTCCCCATGTCGAATTTTATATAATATCGACGGAGAAACAGATTGCCTAAAACCCATGTTGGACCGTCCTTATCCGAAATGTTATTATCTTCGAAAGGGCTTATACAGAATATATCAGAGCTTAACGTAGACTGTAATGAATTGAATACGTTATGATGTTTCTATTCTAAGGCAAATTTAAAATGTTATCTGAAGACACAGTAGTGTCTCGGCGCTATTTAACAATATTTACCTTAATTATATAGTCTTTGCTAGTAAGTTCGAATGCTTTTCCACCTATGATAAAATAGATATTGGGCAACTTATAAATCTTTTTACAGTCCACCTTTAAACGAAATTAAGTATTATCAATTCATATGTATTAATATAACCAGTTATATTAATCCATTAACCAATCTATTAATATATAAACATTTATTATTAATTTATGTTAGTGGTTTATTTAGTATTATTAAAAGAGAATTACTACAAGAATTACTGCAAGAAGTGTCATCTATTACTTACAATTGCTGGATCACTAAGACTAATAGTTCTAATATATTTATTAATAACTGCGATAGCCGATGGTGGTCCAGATATCCGGAAATTACTCGAGTCGATAATAGCTTGACAGTCATTCTCGCATAATATATTATTATTTCCTAGTTGAACTCTAAAGTACAATAGCATTAACAATTAATTATATAATATAGTCCGTGATTAACATATGTAAGTGTAATTTAGAAAATAATGATGTACTTATTCATGTTAAATTGCCAGTATCCTTTGCGAGTAACATTAACATTCGTCAATTTACCTATATAAAGACTACTATCGATATCACCAAATATTAGTTCACCGACTATTTCAGATGTCAAGAATCTATAAAGATTATACATTATTAAATAAAATTCTTTAATAAAAAATCAAATAAACGAGCAATTAATTGGATCAAAGATTAAAACTAGTTTATTGAACATCAACAATTAATTCATTAATAATTTATGCATAGAATGTTTCGACTATATAAAATCTTCTTCAGATAATTAAAATAGGTATAATCAATATAGCCAAGAAGAAAATTGAAATATAAAAAAAAATCAAATATCTAACAATAAGTAACTAAAATACGTATATACACGTCTATACTTGTGTAACATAAATGAAAATTATTGCGCTGAATATAATAACCTATGTGCGATTGTCACAGCTAAACAGTATCATGACTACCTTGCTTTATTTTATCATAAAAAATAAATTTAAAGTTTAGAAACAAATTAAATACATGAAATTCCTACAAATTAAAACATTGGAAAAATCGATATTATAATAAAGATAAAAATCGATCATGAAGCCACATCATAGGTTGGAGTTAATAATACATTAAACAATATATTTTTTAATATGGAAAAAACAATATTTCTAATGTGGAAAAATAAATTGTTTAAGTAAAAAATTTTTGTCAATTCTCTTAACATTTAACGATAACTCCCTGAAACGATATTAATACAGACGCACATAGCGTATACAAAAAGTACATACTTTCTCTTCATATAGATACTAAAAATGGGTCGCAACAATAGGTCTTGTTGAACCATGTTAGTAAGAATGGGAATTCCTGTAACAGCTGATGTGGAATAACCCATTCCCACGATTCCGTGATAATTTGGTTTAAACGGTAACTGCCGTTTATAGCTTATTGCTTTTCCAAATGTCTGATTTTGAATAGCAATTGGGTTAATAAAACCAAACTACAAAGAATTAATGTTTTTAAGAAAACTTTTATAAATTAAAATCGTTAAATGTAATTTGCTTGACTCACATACGCTACATCAGTAGATAAATATCCGGAGATAACATCACCATTGTATTCAATATCGAATGAAGTATTACTTGGTATGTAGGTCACTGATTTGCTATCATCAAAATTCACATTTGATTTTGAGTCTATAAAAAGAAAATCAGTTAATAGAGAGAGAGAGAGAGAGAGAGAGAGAGAGAGAGAGAGAGACACCAAAAATTAATTTCATTCTGTTAATTTAAATATGTGTATTTTTAACAATATTTTATATTAAATATTTTATTTATATTTTTCGCTATAATACGTGAATTGTATCAAATATTATTTGTATCTTTAGAATTAGCGTGATATATGTCAGCATGTTATTGTAAAACTCATCAGTTCCGTAATATTTACATAAGAAAAACTTTAACATTTGAAACTTAAAAACTTTAAAAATTTTATTTGAAGGTCGTTCAGAAACGTTATTCGAGTGCCTCAATACATCATTTTATCTTTTTTGCTTACTCAATATCAAACAAAGATAAGATGATACATCTGAGTAATGTTTCCGAACGTAACTTTGGAATGCAGATGGAAGACATAATTGACAATACATTATTTCTATTGCATTATTTCTATTATATATTTTTACTTTAAATCAATCATTAAAATAAAAAATGCATTAAAAATTATTTTCAATCATTAATATGTAAAAATATAATATTAATAGATACAAATATATTAGTACAAATAATAAAATATCAAAGAAATAAATAACAATGTAAAGATACTTATGTATACTTAAAGATACTTACTGCAAGCAAGGGTATTACTATGGCAATTTTTAGATAGCATCCAAAAATTTGAGGAATTAGTGTCGAAAAGTACTTTAAAATATTGTGGATAAGACCCAATTGAGAGATAGCCAAAAAAAGAATTTTCGTGATCATCTCGCAAATTTATTCTTATAACACGTCTCCTATCCGAACGACTTTGTCGATGATTGATGTCAATTGATCTTCGAGTAGAATTTGTCTCGTACAGCGGATTTCTTGAAGCATCAAAAAAATTTAATTATATTATACGTATATATGTAGTATCATATATATTCGAATGTATGAATATATAATATACGAATATCATAGAGTGTATATTACGTATGTACAACTTTCAAATAAATTTATTATCTTCAAACACCATTTACTTCTAAAAATTGTTACAGTCGCAACATTATCTATTTACGTATCGTATGCTATTTAGCTATTTTAAATGGAAATTGTTCCTTTCACTACACTTATATTACTTATATTACTAGCTTACACTAATATTAATCAAGACATAATATATGAAGAAGATAAGAATATGATTCTCAAAGAAATTCTTCAAAAGCATTTCTCTGATATAATGTATGTATTTTCTATAAATTTATTTTAATTATTGTTGAAGTATTTTCGCTCACCTTTGCAATTCTGCGTTGATCAACACAGAAAGTATCGCTACCGCCACGAAAAATTGAAACATGTTTCTCAAATTGCCTGATTGAGCTACAATAACTAAGAAGATTCTAGGAACGTAATTCTCTTTCGAATGCCACAACACGCGGTTTATATAATATACTAAAGTATGTGTTTGCGTTTACGAATTCAAGAGGGCGAGAAGGACAACAGTGAGCGCTCAAAGAGTTCTGAAACAATCTGATGCGTCAATTTTAAAAGTAATGCTTCGAGATTGATGCAAGAAGCTTGCGATCTGCGATTCGCGTTTTGTGTCTTATATAAATTTATAATAGCTTTATTCGAAATTCTTATGTTAATATATTTTCGATTAAAATTATCAAAAATTTGATTAAATTATCAGAAACTATATTATTTCATTATAATGTCTTTATATAGTTGAAAGGAATGTTAAACGTCCCGTACTTGAATCGCACTATGTGGTAGTCACATACGAAGAGTATACTATAAGTGTGTATCAAATGACTTCAATATGTGTGTGATTTTTCGTGTAAAAATAATACACTATGTATGTAAAAATTTACATATTTAAATGCGTATAGTGTCATTTTTACGGAAAATTAAATACATAAATTATTACATACATATATATGTTAAAGTCACTTTGGTAAATGTAAACAATATAATAATGAAAGCAGCTCCGATTCTCTTGATCTTGACATATCTTGTCCCTGAATGACCTCCAACAAGTTTTAGCCGTCGCTTGTCCCATTAAAAAATTATTAACAAAAAATGTTTTAAAAATAATTTATTTTAATTCTATTATACATGTACAGTATTAAATATTATTTGACACATATATCAAGGTCATAGCCCTGAGGAACCCTTAATAAATTTTACTTGGCGATCACTCTTCGTTAAAAAGTTATTAACAAAAAAGTTTTAAAAATAACGTTTTATTTTACTACTTTATAAATAAATTCTTACTTTACAAACAAATTCACCACTTCAAAAATAAATTATTTTATAATTTATTTTTTGTTATTAAAGCAGTGAACTTGTAGGAACACTAATTCACTTCAAAAACACAAATTCACTATTTTACAAAGAAATTCATCATTTTATTTATACTTTATAAACAAATTTATTTTATACTTTACAAACAATTTTACTACTTTAAAAATAAATTATTTTAAATTATTTAATTTTTTTGTTTTGTGTTTGTGAATTTGTGTTTTTAAAGCACTGATTTGTTTCTACAAAGTTACTACTTTGTAAAAACAAAAAAGTTGCTTCGCGTGGAAATCGTGTGGAGGGGGAGGTGGTATGATCACTTATCATTTATCATGTTTTAAATACTTAGATTTGCAGTATATAACGAATTCTTTGAGAATTAAAGAACATTGCTTAGAAAATCAATACAAATTATACAAAATTTTGTGTTAACCGAGAATTTGACACAATCGTACGTCACCCGTAAAGATTGGTTTATTTTACCAAAGGGAGGAACAATTCAACAAAAATGCAAACCGATTTGACTAAATTCTCAGTCTTCTCCACTTTCTTACAGAAATAAGATAGGAGAAAAATAGAAAAGCAACGAAAAAAACAATGTTGTTGAAACAACTTCAATTTTTCTTTTTCATAATGAGATATTGCGCCATAATAGTCTTCACAAAAGTTAGTAATTGCTCGATCTGTTTACAGATCTGACAACTAAATGAAAATCAAAAAGAGTACGAAGAAGAAATAGAAATAAAATTAATAATAAAATTCTGAAAATGTTAGTTTGGAATAAAGAAATTGATTTTATGTAGAATAAATGAATCCTTTAATGAAGCTTTTCTTTCATAAATTGACTTTAGCGGAAAAAATACGAAAATGCTGCGTAAACTGCACTACCTGCAAAAATTGTTTAACTGTTCTAATTTCTTTTATTATTATGGAGAAGTGGCATTGTATATTAACATTATAATAAGATCAGTTTCTGCAACTTGCAAATAATAAGTGCTCTAAAATACTAGTTTTTATATGCATTAAAATAATTCTTTTATTACTTTCCTTCGCCTATTTAATTTAGCATTATCTACAATTTCGTTGATGTAAATTTTTTAAATACGCGTTGAAAATACATATTATAATATTAATAATAAAACATCAAAAACGGAAATACTGGTATAGAGATAAGTTTGTAATATAAAATACCTTTTATGATTTAAATAAAATTGAAGGGTCGGTATATGAAATCTACATACAATATCTGATAAGAATATATATTTTATTATAAAAAATTTTGTTAAACTCATAATATCATGTATTAATAGGATATTATGCTAAAAGAATATGTTATACTAAATCATTGATAAAAATAGTATTACATATGTTTTTAATTTTCTAAAATATTACGTACGTATTTATTTAAGAATATACCGCAGATAATCACAAATAAAAATCATAAGGAAATAAATATAAAATATAGGAATCAATGTTCTATAAAATTTGTCTTAATTCGCTTATTTAAATTTTTCAACATTCATTTGTATAAAATTCTGAAAAAATATATAAATGTCTATATTGGCGAATCCAATTCGATCGTTCCTCATGTCGAAATTCGATATAATATCGATAAAAAAATACATTGCCCAAAATCTACATCGATTTCTTATATATGCTCGGATCCGTGGGCCTTCTCAAAAGCGCTTATACACTTTTTCTGATTATTTTGTTCCAGCTATAACGATTTAAACGCAGCATATTTCTATTTTCAAATAATTTAAAACATTATTTGTCGATATTTACCTAAATAATAAGATACTTCATCAATTACAGTGATTTCGTACATTTGTTCAATCAATTTTTTAATAATTATATTTAAAATTTTTAATAATTATATTATATTATATTATATATA